ACATTAACTCTTGATCAGTTGTGTTATTAAGGTATTATTGATGCTTTTTTAAGGGTTTTAAGGCTTTGAGAGAATGATATATGAGACTTGTGAAAAGTTTGATAAAAATTATAACAAATATATATAAATGTGTGAAATAACCTTTAATAAAAAAGAAAGATGGTTCACTCAGTAATGGAATTACTGGTGATTTTTGTCTTTTTTATACTTTTCTACATCTAAAAATTCCACAGTAAGCTGTTTTTAGGTTCTTAATTAAAAAAAAACAACTGTAATCAGTTTTTATGAAATTATGCTGATAACTTTTGTGATAAAATGACATTGTTCTCATATTGAGAGCACCCTTGGTAGCTGCTTCTGAGATTGGCCTTTGAGCGTGCTCTTTATTATTCTCTATAACAATTTTGGTGAAGGGTGCATCGTGTCTGAACATCTGTTCAGAAAATAGCTAATTCAGGTATTTTTCACGTGTGAAAAGTGATATAAGGACCATTTCCACTACTGCATTCCCATAAATTTTATTTCCTTTTTTTTTTTTAATCCTCACCCAAGGATATATTTTTTCCATTGCTTTTCAGAGACAGTGGAAGGGGGGAGAGGGGGAGAGAGAGAGAAACATCGATGTGAGAGAGACACATGGATTGGTCGCCTCCCACACGTGCCCTGACCGGGGCCAAGGATCGAGCCTGCAACCGAGGTTTGTGCCCTTCACCAGAATCAAACCCGGGACCCCTCAGTCTGCCGGCCAACGCTCTAATCACTGAGCCAAACCAGCCAGTGCTTTATTTCCTTTTTGAAGAAGTGTACATTTTTCAGTACAGCCACTGTCCACATAGGCAACTTTACCTTAATGGGGGAAGGGTGTCATGAGTATTTTGGCAGAGTTCTTCCTTATTAGGCAAAAATAAGACTAAAAGGAAATGAGTGACTATTTCTTCCTGCCTTTATAAACTGAAACAGTATTCAAATTTATAGGTGAATTTTATTTCCTATAGCAAATAAATCCCTTTATAAACCCTAAGTTTATCTTATAGGTGGCCTTCTAAAGTAAACTTTATTTGATTTTATACACTGTGCTCATGCTTTGGCTTTATGCCTGACCTCCCAGGTTGCAAACATCTACAGTAGGACCCAATATTAAAGAAAATAAACCAGAAAGCTATAAAATATTACAGATGTTAGTAATAAATTACTCAGTAATATTCACATTGGAGCAGTAATAAGTTATAATCTTAATAGTGGGGGTCCTTAAAAATAATCCCACTCTTCACTAAGACATCTTTCCCGCATTTCCCAGACGAAATACATTGTTGTTTTCTACTCATACAAAAGGTAGGTGTTAGGGACATTGTGTTTATTCATTTACTGGTTCTAGTCAATACAGAGGTTAAAAAGTGAAGGCAGAGCACCTGTATGGGCACTACCAACTAGCACCAAATCCTTACTATATGTAAGAAAATTTTCAGTTTTGGAACTCAGTTATGCCCTTAAAAAATACATCAAACAATCTAAAGCAGAACATGCTAAAGGCAAAATGACTAATCCCGACAACTTTTAAAGTTCAAAAAAGTAATTTAGAAGTCTATGGAGGAGTGTTGGATTGGGGCAGGGTGTGTGTGAATTACTTAAGCAAGAAAAAAAAATGGAAGAAAAAAAAGCAGAGGAGGAAAGATGAGGGTGGGAGGCATTGCAGGCAGGAAGCATACATTCCAGGACTGAAGTAGAAATAAAAGAGAATGTTGAGGAAACCATGTTGGCTTAGATAGTTCACATAAAGTAGTGGTTTTCAAATTATGTCCTAATGACCTCCCCTCCCCCACCAATCCCCACAGGGGCTTAACGGCTAGAGGGTGAGCAGGCCAGCTACTCAAGTCTTTAAAGCAAGGCACTGCTGCGGGTATATTAGGAAGATTGATCCGACAGTGGAGCCAGGGACTTGTGTTGGGAAACTCGTCAGTAAGTCAGCTGAGATGACATGAGCCTAAGTGTTTTATCAGCCACTGGTCTGAAACTAAAAGAGCGTGGCTGGATGCGTGAACCCTCACCGAGGAAAACCAACAGGGCTGGGTTACCGATTAGATGGATGTTGTAGCAGGGGAAGGAGTCGTCCAATGAGACGTCCAGTAATAGAAATGAACAATCTCACGTTGAATTTAAATTCGACAGTACTAGAGTACATGGGAATATGGAAGATAATACATTGATTATATCCAAATTCTAAAGGAACTACAAAGTGGATTGAAGTTATTTGCATAAATACGTAAACCGTAACTGATGGCTAACTATGGGATTACACCTGTGTCAGCAGTGAGGATGAATGCATAGCAGGAGTTCTGTTTTTATTTGCACCTTGTTTTCTTAGAAGTCACTAAACTGGAAAGCCTCTATGCCTTGTGGGGGTGCCCCTGTGTTAAATTGAAAAGCCCTAGGCTTTGTGGCTCAGCTAAAAATCCCATTATCCAGAATCTGGGGATTGGCTTCTGGTGAAGTGACATTCACAGGGTAGTATTGTTAGGTAAAGCAAAGACTGTTACTGATATGGCTGCCAGTTGGTAAGAATAAAATCCCCAGCAGGGGAAGACTTGGTATTCATTTGACCTGGTGACATCAGCCCAAAACAAAGGGTTCAGCTTTGTGAGGGTTAAGAAAATTACCAGGGGTTTACTGCCCCTCACTTAAATAAAATAAATAAACTATAAACAAACAAGTGCTTTGAGATGTAGATATTTATTTGCTCTCAGTGTAAGAAAGATTTATTTAATATAAAAGTTCATAAATAAACAATAGGTGTTATGGGCTGGATTGTGTCCCCCTTCCCCCCCAAAATTCATGTTAAAGTCCTAACCCTCAGTACCTCACAATGTGGCTCTATATAGAGATAAGTTATTTAAAGGGGCAATTAAGTTAGAATGAGGTCCTTAGAGTGGGCCTTAATCCAAAATGACTGCTGGTTTTGCAAGAGGAAGAGATTAGGACACACACAGAGACCAAGGGATGACCACGTGAGGACACAGCGAGAAAGCAGCCATCTGCAGTCTAAGGAGAGAGGCCTCAGAAGAAACCAGACCTGCCAACACCTTGATCTTGGACTTCTAGCTCCCAGAATTATGAGAAAATATCTGTTGTTTAAGCCATCCAGTCTGTGATATTTTTTTATGGCAGCCCTTGCGCATATAATATAACCTGGTACTTCAGCAAGCTTCATATACAAAATCAAAAGATATAGTAACCTAGAAAATATTGGTTAACATATAAAATAAAGGAGCGCCTAGAATCAGTAATACTCCACTAACAGCAAGCGTACCAAGCACCCAGATCTTGGTCTTAAATACCATCCTCCAATAAAAGAAACCAAGGTGTCTTGCGGAAATAGCTGATTCCAGGACTGAGGCAGGAAGTACACAGTAGGAGCCTGGTACATCGTGTAGTGCCAGAAAGTAACAAATTGCTAAAAACAAAAACAAACCTTGCAGTTATAGAGGTACGTCAAAGGGACACGGGAACCAGCTAAAAGACCTCCCAATGTTCAAAGCTTTGAGCGACAAAGTATTACTGGAATAGAACCCAAGTGTAAAATAAACACAGATCCATAGTGATACAAATAAATCACTGAATAAATAAATAACTAGAGGAGAATAGAGAAATCTGCACAGAAGGATCCCAAATAATTTATGTAGATGTTCTACCCTCAAGGTAGAGCACAGCTCCCCACTAAAGTGTGGCCTGTGCATAGTGACTTCCTTCTAAAGAGTTCAGCATGAAAAATGGGAGGAGGGAGTAACTTTACAGTGGCAAATCTTACAAACACTACCTTAGCCTGGTGGTCAAGGTTAACATCAAGAGTGATAAGTCATGTTGATAGCATGTGTCCTTGATATAATATGATGAGGTGGTACTTTACCTCTGTGGTCTTCCTCCCCAAAACCACACCTCAGTCTAATCATGAGAAAAACATCAGACAAATTCCAGTGGAGGGGCCTCCCCAAATTAACTTGACCAATACTCCTTTGAACTGTCAAAGGTCACTTCCCAAGGAAACTCTGAGAAACTGTTATAGCCAAGAGGAGCTAAGGAGGCAAGAAACAGTTTAATACACAATCCTAGATGGGATCCTGGGATAGAAAAAAGGATACTAGGTAAAAACTAAAGAAATCTGAATAAAGTATGAACAGTTAATAAATATTAATACTGGTTTATAATTGTGACCATACTAATGCAAGATGTTAATAGAGGAAACTCAGTGCAGGGTATATGGGAACTATGCTATCTTCCTAACTTTTGTATAAAACTTAAAACTATTCAAAAACAAATGATTCTTTTTTAAAAAAAACAAAAAAATCACAAGTAGACAACAGGATATCACACATCCCAGGCATCAAACGGCTAGTAAACACTTGAAAAAAAGTCATACTTACTGGTATCAGAAATGCACATTAAAACATCTATGAGATTATTACTTTTTACTTAGCTGGCAAAATCTTTTTTAAATGATAATTCCCTTGATTGGCAATGTATAGGAATATTAACGAACTACCTCTCTGGAGGGCAGTTTGGTAATAGGTAATCTTTGAAGCAACATCATCACCAGGAAGTATGAATATCAATATACCCACAAATGTTTTTCACAGTATTATGTACAGTAGCCAAAACCCGGTGATTAACAAAATGCTGATAAATATGGGATTGTTTAAATAAACAATGGTAATATCAATGTAGACTGTGTTGCTCTCACATCGATGTTTCTCTCTCTCCCTCTCTCTAAAAATCAAAATGTTTTTTTAGAAAAGAAAGAAAAAATGTTTTAAATGACAGTTTTTAAAAATCTTTTTTTCCATGAAACTATCTGGAATATTGAAGTATTTTGTTGTTCAGACAAAAAGTATTTTTCTTTTGCTTTTCTGGGTAATTTAGTTTATACACAAATTTGCATTCATACAAACATACAGTCATGTGTTCTCCATGTATTTTCTACTTTTCTGTTAGGTGATATTTTCATGAGCTGTTAAAAGCATTGTTTGATTAATCTTGTCATACTTTTTACTTTTAGGTTGGTGTTTGGAATGCTGTATCCTGCATATTATTCATACAAAGCTGTGAAAACAAAAAACGTGAAAGAATATGTAAGTATAGTGTTATGAGTGATTAATTTTAGTTTAATGTATCTGTTATATATAAGACTAGAAAAACTCATTATTTTAGAAACAGCTGGCATAATGTTTTGGGTTAAAAATGTGATATAAATGTGAAGTACTGAAATTAGTCTTTTTTTTAAAACAAATTTTGAATAGAATTCCAAAGTGGAATGTCAAAAATAATGCACTCAGTTGACATTTAAATAAGTATGATTCCCAAATAAGTAATTGGATGTCTTTTACTCATTTAGTCTATAAATTCCAGTTTAAGAGGTTGGGGGATTATCTGTTTTTTTAGCCTTATAAATTTATAGGTACACTGAGAATATATCTCTTCGACCCCCAAAACTTTTTCTTTCTTTCATAGGTGTTCTTTCACTTTCTAATTGATTTAAATATGCAGGTGCCTCATCACTACTGACAATTGCAGTCACCAATCTGCTTTCTGTTTGTATGGATTTAACTATTCTGGATATTTCATATTAATGGAATCATATGTGACCTTTTGTGTCTGGCTTCTTAGCTTGTTTTCAAGATTCACCCACATTATATAGCATGCATGTATCAGTATTTTATTCCTTTTTATGGCTGAATAATATTCTACTGTGTGCATGTACAACATTGTTCCTCCATTCGTTCACATCTGGATTATTTCTAACTTTTGGCTTTTATGAATAGTGTCACTATAAACATTCATGTACAAAGATTTGAGTACCTGTTTTAAGTTTTTGGAAGTATATAGCCACGGTTCTTTGTAAGGGATTTTGGATGGTAGCCTGGTCATTCAACTTGTCAAATACTCAGAGATCAGATGATGATTTTTATTCTATTTGTTTAGAGTGCTTTTTCCCCCCCAGGGTGGAGGGGTATGAAACCTTTATAACTCATTTTATTGAACTTTTATAGTTCAGGGTGATTGATATATTTCTCAATTTTGGGCCCATTTTACCTTATGAAGTATTATAAACCCAGGATATGAAATAACAGGTGTGGCTCTGTGTGTGTCTTTGTGTATGTATTTGTGCTTAGCATATTCTCCTTTCTTCACACATCTGCTTTATTTTGTTGGGGGGGGGAAGTTAAGTACAAATTGAAAATGAAGTTTAGGTGAGAAGCTCCAATAATATGAGGGTATTATCAGCAGACACACAAGTACCATTTCCTAAAATAAAAGGTAAGAAGGTATAATAAATTGTGATAAAAAGAGACCTATCACGTGTAAATTAATGCTAAAAGATCAGAAAAAATGGTATTATTTAGGGATTGGCCTAACAACCATTTGTAAAAATATTAGTCCATTTCTTACTATGCATCAGTTTAACTTTGTTATGTTAATTTTTAAAGACTTAAAAGACATGGATTTGTATGTTTTATTCCCTTAATACAACACTCAAATTTTTATTATTGGAGCATTCTATAAATTTGGGGTTAATAAGAATGGTCTAACCCTGAAATTTTAACGCTGCTTCATAAATTAAAGGTAATTTAACCTGTGGAAAAGAATCCATTAACTTTTTTTTTTTTAATCCTCACCAGAGGATATTTTTCCATTGCTTTTAGACAGAGTGGAAGGGAGAGGGAAGGGAGAGAGAGACAGACAGACATCAGTGTGGGAGAGACACATCTATTGGTTGCTTCCCACACTCGCCCTGACTGGGCTGGGAATCAAACCTGCAACCCATGTACGTGCCCTTGACCGGGAATCCAACCAGCATCCCTTCTGTGCTCTGACAGACAATCCAACCACTGAGCCACACCAGCCAGGGCCCATTAGCATTCTTATTCAAACTGTTAGAAAAACGATAAAACTTGATGTGTTGATATATTATACATACCCTTGTGTGTGTGTTTAGATATATACTTTACATATTGTCTCCCATAGTTTTTAGAGAATAACTCATTATTAACAAAGTAAAAATTATCTGTACAGTGTTGTGACTCTAAAAAGTTTTCTTAACCATCTCTTTGGGAATGTGAAAATAATGAGTAAATTGAAGATAAACCAGGGAAGTAGAAGGGCAGGTGGCTGGAGCTGGTTTGATAATTACATACTAATCAACTCTGCTTTATAAATAAAACGAGAGCTAAAAGCAAAAATGATCAGGTGCTGAAATAGGAAAGGCAGGGCATCTGCCTCTGACAGAAATATGATACAACTCTGAAGACCTCCTGGTGACCAATTTGCATGCCATCAAGGCTCCTAGAGAGACAAGCTTCGATATCATGTTAGAATAACATCTTACATTCATAAAATTCCCTACCAATTTCAAAATACTTTTGTATATTATTGTTTCCAATTGCTTCCATAACAAATTACCACTTACTGGCTTAAATTTACACAAATTTATTTTCTTACATTACTATAGGTCAGAAATCTGAAATGGATCAACAGAGCTACATTCCTTCTGGAGGCTCTAGTAGAAAACCTGTTTACTTGCCTTTTCAAGCTTCTATAGGCAGCCTACATTCCTTGTCCTATGACTAGTTCTCCATCTTCAAAGCGAGAAATATTGGGCTGAGACCTCACACTGCGGTTTCTCTGGTTCTCTCTTCTCCTTCCCTCTTCCATTTATAAGGACCCTGGTGATTACAGTGGGCTCACCTGAGTAACCCAAGATACTCTCCCCATCTCAGGGTCACCTGATTAGCAACCTGAATTCTATCAGCAACCCGATTTCTCCTTTAACCATGTAACCTAACATATTCACGTGTCATGGCAGGATGTGGACCTCTTTGGAAGAAGGAGGCATTATTCTGCATGCCACAATATCTCACTGGTCCTCACTATAACTCTATAAAGTAGGCGGGGAAAATATTCCAATATTATAGGCTCAGAGAAGTGAATTAACTTGCCCAGTGTCACACAGATCATTAAAGAAGGAATGAGTATCTTCTGTTTCTAATGTTTTATTCTTTTTCTTCTACCATGCCAGCTTTAGAAAATTAGGTGAGGATCATAGCTTCACAATAAAAGTTGAAGTAGCTTTCACAGCCAGCCAGTGAATGAGCTTCTGATTAATCACGGCAGATCTTCAGGGACCACAACTATATGGATATTTTTCAAGAAGGGCAGTGAGGCAGCTTAGCCAGTTCTAGAGCAGGACCCATAAGCATCTAAATGAACTGTGATCAAAATGGTCGAAAATGAAATTGGAAGTTTTGGAAGTTCTATAAAGTCTTGGCAGTTCTGTATTTCCAACCTAAATTTACTTCTGACAAAAATTTTGAATATTATTTTCTTGTTGAGTTTCACCTAAACTTAGTTATCCAATTTAACCTTCAATTTTAACAGTTTTATAAGAACTGTGTTCTCATAAAGTTTTCCTGTATGGTGATCCCATCCAAATTTGCTTTGTCTTACAATTTTTTAGCAAGATTAACCTTCTTAAAATTTCCATGTTATATTTTTAATAGCCTCTTATACTATCTGATATGATATTATTTATTTGGTTTTGTTTGTTTTCCCTACTATAGTTTTGTTGTTTTGTTAATTGCTATATTCCCATACCTAGAACAGTACATGGTATATGGTAGGTGTTCAATATTTTTTGAATGAATGAATAGATAAGAAAAAGAAGAGGAGTTGAACTCGATACTTTTTGAATAAATGAATAATTGAGAAAAGGAATAAGAGTTGACTTTTAAGTCTATATCAAATACTAAATTGTGTTTATAGGAGCATATACATTTCTTAAGTAGATTGGTCTAGTTTCTCAGCTTTGACTCTGCTGGGGTAAGGAGTATACAGTCCAGTTTGACTTACCCCAGAGCCCACTTTCTTTGAGGTATTTTACCTAAATTCACTGATATCTGCTTCAAAATTATTTTCAGAAAGCAAACATTTTTTATTAATTTACTTCTTTCCACCCGAACTACTACCATTCCCTGTAAGCCTTCAAATAGTAGATTGCACCTGATAAAACAGATGCTGTGTTCAAATCAAAACACATGGAAAGTGCTGTATATTTTGGCAACCTTCCTTTCTTCCTTTGCCTATTTTTAAAAGAGAGCTTTCCTAGGATATAATTTCCTGTATAGTGTGGCTGATATGGCCTACTTAAAGTCTTTCAGTCTTGCAGTAATTGAAATGTAAACTTACTGAAGAATTAGTATGGTTTTGCAAATTTTTTCAGGCTTATACCATCTCATGACTTGAAAATAGAGTGTTTACTTCCAAGTGGTGTGTAATTGCTGTAGCTTTTCTAGGAAACCAGTGTTTTTATTCTAAGAATGTTGAAAGTGGCAATGAAAAGATTGTCTAACAGCACATAAAAATCAAAATCATACATTTGGTCCTGAGATTTACTGTGAGCAAGAACAAAGAACAGGAACAGCTTTGGGAGATTACTCTTTTAAGGGCCTAGAAATGGCCCTCTAAAACCCTATTGACTTGGGTTTTGAAAGTGACCTAATTTTTGACTGAGTATTTAGCTGATATGGAAATAAACAAACATACCACACACTGGCTCTTATCTATTGTTAAAATGTGAAGTTGCTTACTAGTTCTAGGGTGGAGATAGAAGGGGGAAAAACACACTGAAGAACTTTTCTTTATTGTCAAGAAGTGTTCCTCAGAAATAGTTTCATATTTTGGATTAAAAATATTCATTTGGTTCTAGGGTTTTAATAATGTAAGAAGTGTAAAGACTAACTCACTGATTAAGGTGGGATTTTTTTTTTAATTTTGAAAATTAGTTTTGTCAGGCCATATGCTTATCTGTTTATTTTCTGTTATTTTAATCTAGGTTTTGCTTTTTTAATCAAAGTTGTATTTATCATTTAAAAATCAAACCATTTTTCAAGGCTTGTTATGAAAAACAGCAGTTTCCTACCCTCTCCTCATCTCTAGAGGCAACTACTTCCAACTCTTTTATCCAAATCCTTTAGCATATCTATTTCCATGTTTAATTAACGTGCTTATACTATTGCTATTTCTTAATTTTTCAAATGGACATCATCAGTTGACTTCCTTCTATTAAAGATGATTT